GGTGTATTGTTTTTTGTCTTGAGGCAATTTGACTTTCTATGGGTCCTTCTCAGGCCAAAGGCCAGGAAGGGAGCCACACTCCTGCTCAGTTCAAGTTAAGCATTATGGTCCTTGGTCTATTGATTTTGTTTAAAAATGGAACTGGTATGCCAGGTTGGAATTACAGTTTCTCCTTGATAGTTCTTGAAGCCAAGGTGTCATGATTTTGATCTGAGGGAAAAATTGGAAATGTCTCTCCTGACTAGCTGGGATCCCAGTATTTGTGGGAGGATAAGGCTCAAAAAGAGTGGGGAAAAAAGTCCTTAATCGCCTCCACAGATACCCAGGAGAAGACACTGGGGAAATCAATCTGCAAATGACTCTCAGCGTCTCCTCATTTTGCTTCTAGAGCTGACACTGTCTTTGTGTTGGATGACCACCAGCCTCCATATTTCTCGCTTCTGCGGACACCAAGAATTCAGTCCGACCTTAACTATGCTTTAATCTCCTATCATCCCCTCCCCATCTCCTCTAAGACAGTTCTCCTCGGTCCTATCTATCTGACTGTCCTCCTAAGTTATCTTTCCCATCTGGCCAAGCTAACCTGCTCTTCCAGGCTCAGCTTCACCTCCATCTCTGTGAAAAGGTAGAATTAATTTTTTTAAAGATTTTATTTATTTATTTGACAGAGAGGGAACACAAGCAGGGAGGAGAGGAAGAGGGAGAAGCAGGCTTTCCCTTGAGCAGGGAGCCCAGTGTGGGGCTCCATCCTAGGACCTTGGGATCATGACCTGAGCCGAAGGCAGATGTTTAATGACTGAGCCACCCAGGCGCCCCAAAGTAGAATTAACAGCCAGATATGTATATGGGAAGCCCGGCACTGTCCAGAACTCAAGGGATTCAGAATGCATCATGACTGAAGGACAGCGCCCGACCTTGGGGAGCTCACAGTCTAATAGGGGAGCTCGATATTAATGAGAGCACAGTGTGGCAAGTACAACAGACAAGGCTCGGGAGGGGAAGTTGCTAGTTGTGTGTGTAGGATCCTCGATGACATCTGAGGCAAGATCTGAGGCTGGGAAGGGACCTCCTCCTCCGTCAGTCTGGCCTCTCCATGGACCCTCACCTTCACTGCCCCCCACAGCTGGCACACCTGTTTCCAGGAAAATCAAGATGGAGATTTTGCCCTCGTGTTCCCCATGGCCTGAGCTCAGGGCCTGATACCTACTATGGGCTCAAACAAATGAATAGTAAGTGAATCCTAGAGACAGGTTTTTCTCTCCCTAAACATTTTATTCAGAGTTTCCCTGAACTAGCCAAGGGGCTAAATTCCTGCCTAAAACTTCAGGAGGAATTGCCGAGTCAGTGGAGTATCCCCCACTCCCTGTCCTTTGCTCTTTTGCTCCTTGGTTCCCCAGTGTCCCTTGCTGCCTCCAAATGTGACCCACCAAGCCCTTCAGAGAGCTCCAGGCTCCAGAATCTTTCCCTGAGAAACTACTCTTATTGATTAAACCATGGTTTACAATGGAATACTATGCAGCTGTGGGAATGGCTGTGAGGCTTTCCAGTGTATGCCTTTTTTGTTTTTAAAGATTTTATCTACCTATCTATCTGTGAGAGAGAGAGCGGAGGGGGAAGAAAAGAGGGAGAGGGACAAGCAGACTCTGCGCTGAACTTGACACCTGATGCATGGCCCAATCCCACGACCCTGAGACCATGAACCAAGTCGAAACCAAGAGTGGGATGCTCAACTGACCGAGCCACCCAGGCACCCCTGTACACCTTTTAATGTTGGGGTTGATCTTGGAACCATAGGAATGTTCACATATGGGAAAAGAAGAAAACCTAAACCTCACACTGAAGATAGTGGAAATTCACCTGTGTGTGAACGACTGACAGGTGATTGAAAATTCAATTTGATTTTCAACAAATTGTTGAATGAATGCATAAATATTTCCCCATCACATCTTTGGATCTCTGCTGTAGTCTTTTGCCTTCTCACTTCCCCTAGAGAAAAAGGAGGTCTTGACACCTAGGCGGGGCTGGAGACTGGAGGACAGCACAGAGCACACGCAGCCCTTTCTTTTAAAAGTTTTATTTTTTTAACTTGACAGAGAAAGATCACAAGTAGGCAGAGAGACAGGCAAGGTGGGGGAAGCAGGTTCCCCGTTGAGCAGAGCCCCCAATTCGGGACTCGATCCCAAGACCCTGAGATTATGACCTGAGCCGAAGGCAGAGGCTTAACCCACTGAGCCACCCAAGCACCCTAGGCAGCCCTTTCTACCAAACCTGTCTCCTCATAGGTGACCCACCAAGCACAGGTTCTTTGATTCAAAGTCCTTTCACTTGAATGATCTTTACTCCTAATTTTCCCTAGGGAAGACATGGAGCTGGTGTTAGTACTTTATAGTTGGGAAGATAAGTCAGACTTTATGTGTTTGTGATTAGTTGGCCTTGAACTTGGGAGAACCCAGGTTTTTAGGATGGATTCCTACACCATATCTCCACCCTAGATCCCTTTCCTGGGTCCAGATTCCTTTTTTTTTAAAGTTAATGTTTCATATATTCTTTTTTTTTTTTTTTTAAAGATTTATTTATTTGAGAGAGAGCGAGAGCAAGTGAGAGCAAGCAAGCACGTGAGTGGGGGAAGGGGCAGAAGGAGAGAATCTTCAAGTAGATTCCCGGCAGAGCACTGACCGGATGCGGGGCTCAATCTCACGACCCTGAGATCATGAGCTAAGCCGAAACCAAGAGTCAGACGCTTAACTGACTGAGCCACCCAGGCGCCCCTGGGTCCAGATCCATATACCTGAGCACCCATCAGACATTTCTACCGGGATGTCTTAGGCACCTGAGCATGTCAAAGAAGCCTCCTCTTTCTCCAGCCACACCTGGTTCTGTTTCCCATTTCCACAGAGGAGCACTACCATATACTCTGTTACCTAAACAGAAATCTGGGTGTCATCCTTAATTATTCGCTCTCCCTCATCATCCTCCAACTTACATGACCCCACACCCACCCTCCGGCCTGACGTAGACATCTCCCAATTCTGTTAGCTACTCCAACTCTGTAGCCATTGCCCTAATCCAGGCTCCCAGCATCTGCTAACTGGATTATTATAGCAGTCTCCAACCTGGATCCCACTCCAATCCATCTGTGGCTTTGCATGCAAAGTCATCATTCAAAAATGCAAAGCTCATTACGTCATCTTCCGGCTTAAAATCTTTTAGTGGCTCCTAATTATAATTAAGATAAAGTCCCAACTCCTTAATGGGGCTTTAAGGGTCCTACAGGATATGGTTCTATTTTTTTCCTCTCATGAAGCCATCTGGGTTTGGTATTTTTTGTCATAAGTGGGTTTTTAAACTACTGATTCACTTTATTATAGCCTATTCGGATTTTAATTTTTTTCTTGTGTTATATTTTCTAGGAAACTATCCATTTCAAATTTATTGGCATAAAATTGTTCCTAATATTGTTTTTAAACTTCTGTAGTATCTAGTTATATACATTTTAAATTGTCTAACATTTTTTATTTTTGCTCTTTTTATTTTTTTGGGTGATTTTTTCCCCAACTTCTTTTAAAACTTTTGAACTTCTAAAACTTTTCATTTATTTATTAAAAGATTTTATGTATTTATTTGAGAGAGAGAGAGAGAGAGAGAGAGAGAGAGTAGGGGGAGCAGGAGAGGGAGAAGCAGGCTCTCCATTGAGCAGAGAGCTCGACACAGGGCTTGATCTCAGGACCCTGGGATCATGACTTGAACCGAAAGCAGAGGCTTAACCAACTGAGCCACCCAGGCACACTTTTTCCAACTTCTTGAGGCAGATGTTTAGGTTACTGTCAGCCTATCATCTGTAAGTAAGTATGGAAGTTAAGTTTTAAGTTTCCCTTTAGCTGTGTCCCACGAGTCTTAATATTTAGTATTTTCATTATCATATTCAGTTCTAACCATTTTAGAATTTCCATCATGGGGTGCCCGGGTGGCTCAGTCAGTTGGGCGCCTGCTTTTGGCTCAGGTCGTGATTCCAGGGTCCTGGGATTGGGCTCCCGCGCTGAGCAGGGAGCCTGGTTCTCCCTCTCCTACCCCTCTCCTCGATCTTTTTCGCTTTCTCTCAAATAAATAAAATGAAATAAAATTAAAAAAAATTTCCATCATAATTTTCCCCTATAATCTATGTGTGTTCTATAATCCTCAAATGCATTTTTAATCTGTGTGAGTGTGAAGATTGCCATATTAATTCATTCTTAGGTCACAAAATCACTCCCCAATCTGTCCTGGATACTCCTTAGAACTCGGTTCCCAGAAACATGCTTTTTTGGCTTTTGGATCTTTGCAAGCACAGTGGCCTCTGCCTGTCTCCCCTGCCCCACCCCTGTCCCTGGTTGTTAGCTCCTTCTCAACTCACAGACCTTAGTGACTTTTTTTTTTTTTTAACCTTAAAAATAAATAATTTCCTCTGCAAGCCTGACTTGAGCTCCCAAATCTGGACTGGGTGGCCCTTCTGCTGTTCTAAGTGCTCTCATACCAGCGTGTACTTAACCTTGTTGTTTCCTTTCTCTAGAACACAAACTCCTTGAAGACCTTGCTCAGTGCCTGGCACATAGCAGGTGAGCAGTAAAGAGTTGTGGAGTGAACAGAGTAACTCACACCCTCTCATTTGCTGGTAAAAATTCCTATTCCGGAGCCACAGGAACAATTCCCAAGCATTGCTCCTTTCCGCTTCTCAATTATAATCCTATCCATACCGTCTCTCTTCATGGTTAGGGTCCACCTCTGGCTGTTCATCCCGCCCCCCACCGTGCCACCCTGGTCCCTGGGGGAGGGGGGCCTACTCTCAGGAGCAGGGCTGGGGAGGTTGGATTCAGGGAGCCTCCCCTCACCTGCTCCAGACCAGACTCCCTGTGCTAAGCCTTCTTGCCAGCAGGTGGCATTTGAAGCCTGAAAGCGGAACGTGCACCTCCGGTCCATCATTCCTTCTATAAGCCTCTTGGGGGCACATAATCTGGCTTGGGCCGCGCTAACGCTTGGAGAGGATGCTCCAGCTGGGGGACCTGGCTGCTGGCTCCCAGGCTGCTGTCCCTTCTTTCCTAACTGGTAGCAGCCATGGTCTGGACTTCTCCCTCCTTAGCCTCCAATTCATTTCAAGTGCATATGCTTCAGACAGAGCTAAAATTAGGTGAGGCACTAAAAGCTATTAATATGATAATTTTTGAAGAGTACACATGTCCTTAAGCCCATTTGCCTTAGTAATTCTCTCTCCGTATTCTCTCTGCTCGTGCTTGTGGATGACGCTGAGCCCAGGCCCGCAAGGAAGCGCAGCAGCCTGGGTCCCCCACTCAGTTTCTTTCCCTCCCTGAAGTCTAAAGGGCTAGAGCTGGACAATTCTTCGTGTTTTGTTCTTTGTTTTTTAAAGAAACGAAAAACAGCAGCAAACAGAGAACGGCTGTGGGTAGGTGGGAGCAATTTACGGAGGCATTGCTAATACTGCTTTTACATTGTCCAAGAGTTATTATAACATCAGCTTTTGGTGGTGGACCGTTTCTTTGACCATGTCACTGCTCTGGGTCTGAACTTTGGGGGTGATGGTCTCACAAACATTACATCGATTACAGCAGTGTTGTTTGGGGGGGGGCGTGAGCCTTGGGAGGCAGAGGAGGGGTGACTCGTCTTGTCAGGAAGATGGCCCAGGTGGGCCTCTCAAGCAGGGGGCAGCTGGAGTGGAGGCTTGAAGGAAGAGGGGGGAGATTATTCTATGCAGGCAGAGCAACAATCTGAATGAACAGAGAAGCACGTTATCAGCCTTTTGTGTTCCCCGGTGCTCCCAGCTTATCCCAGATGCTGCCTCGTAGAACCCTCTCAGCCCGCTCCCATGCCGCCTTGCTCAAGGACTCCTTTGGGGGACCCTGGCCTCCTCTGGGTGACTTAGCTGGCACCTCTCACCTGCACCTTTAACCCAATTGTGCCAAAGTATGGCCATCCTGTCTTCTTGAGCACCTGGACCCCCGGTGCTGCCTCTGCCACTCCTGGTGGCTAAAGGAGCTCAGTTGGAATTCCGTGTACCTGTGATGGGTGAGGGCCCTTGACGCTGGGTTTCAAGATGTAGGGAAGATCTTTACCCTCCCCTGCCGTGCTCTGCCTTTCAGCTTCAGTGAACCCAGGCCAATCAGCAGATCTCTTCTTGCAGGGAAACGACGGCCCCATGAAGGCTGTGAATGGGATTTCTCTTTCAGGCTGGAGAAACCAGGATTGTGGAGAACAGTGATTTGGAGATCCTGGGACCAATTTAAGACAAGCTCACATTTCGCTGATGCCTCAGCTCCGGAGCAATGAGCAAGGCAAAGGCTACACTTGGGTGCCGGGAATTCCAATCCCAAGAACGGAGAGAAAGAGCGGAGGGTAGATGAGGTGGGTGAGTGGCAAACTCCTTTGAGAGAGAATTGAATCTGCTCCCAGAAAGGAGGTTGGAAACGAGGCTATTAGCTTGCTCTGGAGAAAATGCTGGGGTTGATACTGTCACAGGGGCACAGACCCAGGCCTCTACTTTATTTGGCAGATAAACCCTCCCTGCCAACTTGCAGGCCTCACAGGAAGCACTGGAGTTTCGGTGTGGAGGTTATTACACTGGACTGGAGATGCTCTCAAGCCAGGGAGCATCACCGGGAGGCTCTGGAGGCTGCAGACATTCTGGAGGAGAAGTGGACGAGAGGCTTTTGGACCTGGAGGAAATCTGAGAGCCCGTTAAAGCTCAACCCTGGCATTTTAGAGTTAGGAAACAGATGGGAAATTGCTTGCTTGTTCAAGGCCACCGGCGTTCGTGAGAGTGGAGTCCATATAACACACTGGGTGCTGGGCCTCCTACATGGAGGTCCACCACACCGGGGGATTCTCATATACTCTCCCGCCCCACCTTTGTTCCTAATCGTGGGGTCTGAGTTATCAAGGCACGTGCACCTGGTCCAAGATGAAATGCCACCCAGACTGTGTGGGGACAGCGCCACCGCTAACCTCCTAACACCCTCACCTTTTGTGTCTACAGTTGCCCTTCAATAGAAAGAACCAGACACTGGTAGAAAGAAAACACGTCTGCTGCTAGCAGGATCTCAAACCCAGTGGAGAAATGAAAAGAGAAGTACCCCAGAGGATCCTAAAATAAAAGACGTAAGAGCCTTTGGCGGGTTGGCGGGGAGTTTACTGCAAACTATTATAATTAAAGTGATATTTTACAAGTGTTTAAGACAGCGGGCAGACCGGCTGTGAGCCAGGCCTCGGCTTCAGAGACAGACTCCTGGAGGGAAATGGCACTTGCGGGGAACACGGACTCAATCACTGCTGCTTGTCAGGCACTGAGTGCTGGCGGAGTCCTCTCAGGGAGCCTCAGAGCCGTGAAGCAGCTGCTCGAAATTCCAAACCTTGCTCCATTCCCGCTGCGCGTATCACCTGCCCGGAGCAGGCCTCGAAGCCACCCTGGGGACCGACATGAATTGTTTCCCTGGCCCAGGCTTCCCGCCAGCTCAGGCCACCCGACCCCTCCCCATGACTCTTCATCACAGTCTTCCTTCTGCCCTTCAGACATCTGCCCAACTTGTGGCTTAAAATCACCAGCGGGAGGAAAAGCAAGGAATGCTCCCGATGTAAATCCACAGCAAAAAGGACTGAAGAACTGAGCGGTCGCCAGGGTTGGCAGGTATGTGGATGGTTCCCTGCATTCTTTATCCATAGGGTGCTTGAAGGCATAGTGCTGAGGAAGGTGCCAGAAGTCTGACTTTTTAGGACTTGTTCATGTTTCTGAGAACCTGTGGGGATGATCACTGGGCAGAAGCAGAGCCTAGAAGAAATGCCGAGCCAGGGGAAGGGGGGAGAGGGGAGACTGGCTGAATCCTGAGATCATTCCCAAGAGGAAGGGAGCACTACTTCCAGAAGCAGCAGCCGGAAGGGTTGTGCCAAGGCTCTGTCTCAGGGGTCAGGGAGCTCTGGGTGGAGGAGGAGGTCCCTCCTGCAGTTTTGCGTTACTGTTTAGGCAAAGCGAAGTCCCAGGCAGTTTCCTGTGCACATTTCCACATGGCCTGCATGAGGCGGGTGAAGCCCATGTCTTTGGGCTTCTCGAGGCCTCTCATCAGCCGCTGCTTCATGATGGAAACAAATTCCTTATTGCTCAGCTCCCCATTGCCTAGAGGAAGAGGCAAACACAAGAGGGATAAGTGAAGGCCTTGGAACAAAGACACTGAGAAAATTCCATTGTTCACGCAACGTGGGTTCCAAAGCCCAGTATACTCTCACAGCCAAATTCAAACAAATGGTTTGCTCCTTCCTTGATGTTTCCGATTACACTTGGTGACAGTTTAGTGTGTGTGACAAAAGTTGAACAAGAATATACCATAGGTCAGGTCCTGTACTAGGAATTGAGAATAAAGAGGTAAATAGGACTTTGTCCCTTGAGATACTCCCAGGTTGTGGGAGAAACAAATATGTTATTTCAACAGTGCGGTAAATGCCATTGTGTGGTAAAGAGAAAATGCTCTGTGGGAACAGAGGAAGGGATCGAACCCGGGCTGGGGGTGGTGCAGTACGGAGGTGTAAAGGCTTCCTGGAGGCCATTCCTAAGTTGAATCCCAAAGGATGAGCAGAAATTGGCCAAGTAAAGGGGAGTGGGATGGGGAGGCATTCCAGGTAGTGGCAGTAGCATAAACAAAGGCACAGGCAGGGAGCAAGGCGACTGCTGAGTAGTTAGGAAGTACACACAGAGGTGGGGAAGTAAACGGAAGAGGCGGGCAGGAGACAGGTCCCCAGAGGTCTTGTATTTTCACTAAAGGGTTTGTGCTTTATCTTCTAGGCAGGGGAGCACCAGGAAAGGACTGCAAGTAAGTGAGATGGAATTAAAGATTTCCATTTTGGGTGGATTCCTCTGGCTGGATATATGGGGATGGGACTGGAGAACGGCAGTAGGGAGTCAGTCAGGAATAGTCCAGGTGAGAGAGGGAGGGGGCGGTTCATGGTAAAAACCCAAATTAAAATCTGGTTTTGGGTTAAGCCCATCTTCTCATGGCCTCGCATTCCACCCTCTTCAGTGACAAACTCTCAGGTCTGGAGAGGAACTTGGAGAACATCTCATTTAACCAAAGGTCAACCTCTCAAGCCAAACGGAAGAGTAACCATTTCAACAGTAGAGGATAGTTACCCATTGACTACATGCCCATGAGTAAATGTCTGCTTGAAAGAATGGCAGCCATTACTGGTGGTGATAAGACAATAGGAAACCATAAAATAGACTTTTACTAACGATCGATTGGTCTAGGAAGAGAGTGGAAAGAAGAACACAGGGTTTACTTCTGTACAGAGTACCTGAAAACCTACACTAGCTCATGTTTGCTGGCTGAAGGGAGCATGGACAGCCTCAAAGATACCTCACAGCAAGATCAAACAAACAAGCAAACCCAGGGAGACCTAAACTATGGTACCGGAAGTCAGGAGAGGGACTGCCCGTGGGAGAGGAAGTGGCTGGAAGGCGGCACCAGGTCCTGTTTCTGGACCAGGACCTCTGTGGTCCTGCCAATGTGATGTTTCTGGATAATACTGCTTACACAGGTGTGTTCAGTTCTTAAAAATTTAGCAAGCTGCATACTTAATGATATTTGCACTTTTCTGTATGTGTATACTTCAACATAAAGAATTAAAAAGTAGCCTGGCTGGCTGAAAAGTGATCAGTGATATGGCTTGTTAAGAATGTAATTAAAAGGGGGCACCTGGGTGGCTCAATGGGTTGGTTAAAGCCTCTGCCTTCAGCTCAGGTCATGATTTCAGGGTCCTGGGATCAAGCCCCGCATCCGGCTCTCTGCTCAACGGAGAGCCTGCTTCCTTCTCTCTTTCTCTGCCTGCCTCTCTGCCTACTTGTGATCTCTGTCTGTCAAATAAATAAATAAAATCTTTAAAAGAAAAAAAGAATATAATTAAAAGGGCACCTGGGTGACTCAGTCAGTTAAGCGCCTGCCTTCAGCCTCAGGTCATGATCCCAGGGTCCTGTGGTGGAGTCCTGGTAGGGGCTCCCCGCTCAGCAGGGGGTCTGCTTCTCTGCCCTTCCCCCAACTTGTGCACACACTCTCTCTCAAATAAATAAATAATTTAAAAAATCTTTTTTTTTTTTAAAAAGAATATAACTAAAAGGATTAAAAAAGGTCCAAATGAGATGCTTAATATTTTTATAAAGAGAGGCTTAAAAAATCTGAGGTCATTTAGACAGCCATGGGATTTGCTTCCTTCTTCCCTAGGGCCAGAGCTGATCAAGGTGAATGGCTTACTTATGAAGCAGGTACATGACTCAATTGTCATTTGTGTGCACGTGTGATCTGTGAGTGCAAATCTAAATTCTCAGGTCAACAAGTCTGAAAAGTCAATGTCCTTTGGCATTCTGACCCAAGATCTAGTGCATAAAAATAACAATGGATTTTTAAATTTAATATATACTTCGTTTTTCTATAGATTAAGAAAATAAGCCCCAGAGATGTTAAATTATTTTTGAAAAGGTGGATTCAAGTAGATACTGACAGAACCTCCTTCTAAAAGGCTCAAATTTCATTTCTCAGGTCTTCCTAGGAGAAGTGGGGAGCTGTGAGGCTGTTTGCCTTTATTCCCATGTTTACTTTGCAGAGCAGCTCTCTGGCTTCAAAAATTATAAAATTGTGGTTTTTGGAAAAAACTCAAGCCACCCAGAAATGATTAGGATAAAAACCAAAATCTGAGGAACGGTAACCTCTCTAGAGCAGTGTTGTTCCTTAGAACTCTCTTTGATGAGGGAAATTTTTTTATTTGTGCTATTTAAGACAGTAGCCACTGGTCACATGCAGCTACTGAGTGCTTAAAATGTGGCTACAGAGACCAAGGAACTGACTTTTAAATTGTTTTTAATTTTAGCTAATTTAAATTTAATACGCACATGAAACTAGTAGAATATCATGTCGGACTGGGCAGCACTAGAAAATGACCCACCCCTACGTGAGGGTGAGGCCATCTTCTTGCCCTAACACTGCAGTTTTCTTCCACTCAGACCTGGTTGTGGGTGCAGGTGGGAGGTTTAAATAACTCAAGTTCAACTAGATAACTTCAATAACTCAAGTTAAGGACATCTGTTATGTGCAAAGTACTATCTGAGGTCCTATGGAGGGGTCCGACAGAATAAAGACCTTGTAACAACCCTTAAAAAGCTCACAATTTATTTACAGCAAAACATTATTTACAATAGCCAAGATATGGAAGCAGCCCAAGTGTCCATCAACTGCTGAATGAATAAAAAAGGTATGGTGTGTATGTACGTCTGTCCACACACACACACACACACACACACACAGAATGGAATATTATTCAGCCATAAAAAGAATGAAATCTTGCCATCTGTAATGACATGGATGGAGCTAGAGAGTATAATGCTAAGTAAAATCAGAGAGAGACAGATACTGTATGATTTTACTCATGTGGAATTTAAGAAACAAAACAAGCCAAAGGGGAAAAAAAAATAAGATAAAGCAAGAAACAGACTCTCAACTGTAGAGAACAAGTGGCTGGTTACCAGAGGGGAGGCGGGTGAAGGGACGGGTGAGACAGGCGATGGGGATGAAGGAGGGAGCTGTGATGTGCATGGGGCGGGGCTGAGGGGGGATGTATGGAGTCGCTGAATCTCTATATGGTACACTTGAAACTAATGTAACACCCGCCTCATTGGAATTGAAGTAAAAACTTAAAAAAGCTCACAGTATAGTAGGGAAGTTAGGTCACATACACAGAGTGTAACCTGTAGTAATGAAGACAAACTGAAACGAGCTGAGGAATGAAAAAGCCAGAGCGTTTCATTATTATGCCAGGACCAGAACAAAGGTTTTACCAAGGCAGGAACTTCTGACCTGGTTCCGGGATTCCATGAGCTTCACTTCCTGGAGGAAGCTGAGCACGATCCCGGCTGGGAAACAAGGAGGGGGGGAACAGAGCATAGAGGGAGGCGGCCAGCTTGGAGTCACAGCTTAGCTGTGCTACTACCACCTTACCACTACCTGTGTGCTCCTGGGGAAATGACCTCACCCGAGTCTCAGCGTCCTTATCTGGAAAATATCGTGAAAAATGGCTCCTACTCAGAGGGTTACCTGAGCAGCTTAGCACAGTGCCTGGCTCTTAGTAAGCACTGAGAAAAGGTGTGAGCCTCCACGGTGAATAGCAGTATTGCATCAGGCAACGTAGCTGAGAACTGACACCACAGGGGAACCAGGACCTCTCACGTGGGCTAAGCTACAGAGTGGTTGCAGACACACCGCTGCGAGCTGGAAGGCAGAAATGGGATGCGAATGACTGCGATATGCTCTGGGGGGTGCGGGGAAGATCAGGACCACCTTCTTTCTAGACAGATAATCATGTGCTCCTAGTCTATGAAGCAGCAAGTTGTATCTAATATTTTTGTCTCTTTTTCTGAGCTTTTATATTTGAGTTTATTTCCCTTTTAAGATCACCCCTAGAGTTGATTGTTTCCTTTTTTAAAGATCCTTTGGTCATACATTCATTTAGGCCTACAGGCAAATTGGAATTATGAGAAGAAATGGAAAACACAAGGTCAGGGGCGCCTGGGTGGCTCAGTGGGTTGAGCCTCAGTGGGTTGAGCTGCCTTCGGCTCGGGTCATGGTCTCGGGGTCCTGGGATCGAGTCCCGCATCGGGCTCTCTGCTCAGTGGGGAGCCTGCTTCCCTCTCTCTCTGCCTGCCTCTCCGTCTACTTGTGATCTCTCTCTCTGTCAAATAAATAAATAAAATCTTTAAAAAAAAAAAAAAAAAGAAAAGAAAAGAAAACACAAGCTCAGACCGGGGGTTCTAGCTCTCAGTGTCACGGTGCTGAGGGCTGAGCTACTGCTGTGGGAAAGGCGTAGGCTCAAGAGGCGCAGGCAAGTGCACTGGAGCGCTCTGCTAGCCTCTGGTATCAACAGTGTCCATTTTAAAGACAGTCGGGCTCCATTTTCCCGCCAGACTCCAGAGGGCCCCACTCACCGTCGCAGTCGAAGAGCGCGAACACCACATCACACACGTGGTCCGAGAGTTCCACTTTGGCCACGGTCCTGGCCACCTGCTGCATGGTCACTGCAAGAAGAAAGATGCTGAATTAGCACACAGCAGAGGGACTTTCAGTCTGCTTTTTCTGAATGCGTGGGATACAACTACTCAGTTGTAATAAAAAGTTTTCAACTATATTTAAGAGAATGAGAATTTGGTTTTTAACCTGCAACAGCCTTTCCTTTTCACCTCAGGTTCCATTCTTTTCTACTGCTGCTACATTTTAGGAGGTATATACAGTTACGTAAGAATGCCTGGGGGGAGGGCCCCTGGGTGGCTCAGGTCATGATCCCAAGGGTCCTGGGATCGAGCCCCACATCAGGCTCTCTGCTCAGTGAGGAAGCCTGCTTCTCCTCCCACTCACCCTGCTGCTGTGTCTCTCTCTGTCAAATAAGTAAACAAAATCTTTAAAAAAAAAGTAAGAATGGCTGGTATTAAGTTCATAGAGACAGAAAGTGGATTAGCAGTTACTAGGGGCTGGCGGTATTGGGAATGGGAAGTTAGTGGTCAGCGGATACAGATTTTCTGTTTGGGGTGATGGAAACACTTTGGAAGTAGTGGTGATGGTTGTACAACAGTGAGTGTAGTGAATGCTGATAACCTGTCCACCTAAAAATGGTTTAATTGGCATCTTTATGTTAATATACATTTTTACCATAGTAAAAATTTTAAAAAATTTTTAAAAAAGATTCATCCATTCATTTTAGAGAGAGAGAGAGAGAGAGAGAGAGCGTGAGTCTGTGTGGGGCAAGGGGCAGAGGGAGATGGAAAGGGAGAGAGAATTTCCAGTTGACTCCCTGCCAAGCATGGAGCCTGGGAGCCCGACTGGGGCTCACCCCCACTACCCTGTATCAGTTATGACCTGAGCCAAAACCAAGAGTCTGAGGCTCAACCCACTGACCCAACCAGGCTCCTCCATCACAGTTAAAATTTAAAAGGTGAAAGTCCGGGGCACCTGGGTGGCTCAGTGGGTTAAGCCTCTGCCTTCGGCTCAGGTCATGATCTCAGGGCCTGGGATCGAGCCCCACGTCAGGCTCTCTGCTCAGCGGGGAGCCTGCTTCCCCTTCTTTCTCTGCCTGCTGCTCTGCCTACTTCTGATCTCTGTCTGTCAAATAAATAAGATCTTAAAAAAAAAAAAAAGGTGAAAGTCCACATAATATTTAAGGATGGGAATCTAATGGTCTAGAGTATTCATTGGCGGCTTTCCTAGTAAATTATCACCAGAAGAGTGCCTAGAAAAAAAACAAAAAACTAAGAACGCCTGATATTACAATAGTCTCCATCTTGGCATTTCCCTCCTGCAGGAAAGAATATGATAATAAGGGGTGGGCCTGGGTGGCTCAGTGGGTTAAGCCTCTGCCTGTGGCTGAGGTCACGATCTCAGGGTCCTCTGATCGAGTCCCTACTCGTGATCTCTCTCTGTCAAGTAAATAAATAAAATCTTAAAAAAAAAGAATATGATAATAAAAAGTCAAGGAAATAAGTAGGCAGCGAAACAACGGGAGGTGGGGAATGAAGAGGCCTGTGGCAGTACCCTCCGACATCACCCTTCCACTGCTGAGTGCCAGGAAATACCTGCACTGATAAGCTCCTTGCCCCTCCTCCCTACAGGCTGCCCGCCCAACACTTTGTCTCTTCCAACCATGACCCCTGGGGTAACAGTGGGTCCCATCTCACTAGCTCAGTGTCTGCAGCCTTTTTTGTTTTTCTTCTTCCAGACCTCCTTAGAAAATCTCTCCTCTCTTACCATTTTCTTTTTATCTGCCATTTACTGTTAAAAACTGGCAATCATGTGCGAATTGGGTTCTCATGAAAAACAAGCCAGGAAGGGCTAGGCCGTTTCCATTGCCTTTTCTCCCTTCTGCCCTCCAACCTGATCTAGGGGCATGTATAAACTATGTTATTGCTTACAGAGATGCTCTTAAGTGAGATGAACCTTGGAGGAAAGAAAAGGATTGATTTTTACTTATCAATCACCTAGCAATGAAGTGTTCTCTCTAAGTATCAGATTAGATTCATCCAGAAGCAGTGGGAACTTGAATTAGAGTCATTGTGCCTTCTCTGCTGATTTCAGTCCTGTAATCTCTGTTCTTTCCTGTTCTTCTGCATTCGGCCTTTCACTTGGCCTCTGTCACCTCCCTGTATTCACCACAGGGCCCCTGAGGTCAGCACATACAAATACTAGAGCCAGGCAGGGGGCAAAGGGGTGCAGGAGAGAGAATCCTTGGAGTCACCAGACCCGCGCTCTGGTCCCGGTGCCACCACCCACTTGCTCTGTGACCCTGATGAAGTCACCTGATCTCTTTAAAAATTTAAGCTTTTTTCCTATTCATATGAATGGATCCACAAGATAACCACTAAGGTGGCTTAGTAGTACGAAGAAGAGTTAATTGGTGTTTTCTAGAATCTGAGGGTGGAGGTGTACAGAAACAGCTGACGATCTGTGTGAAGAAGGGCAGAAGGAAGTTGTACCGACCACAAGCTAGGCTATGCCTTGGTGTCCACAGCCTACAGCTTGAGGGGGACGGCTGCCCAGGAGGGCAGGAAGAGCCAGGTTTCTCATCCCGCACCCAGGACGGGAGCTGGGGTGAAGGAGGAATCAATGTCCCCTGGACATTTAAGACTTAAGCAGAAGAGGGGCGCCTGGGTGGCTCAGTGGGTTAAAGCCTCTGCCTTCGGCTCAGGTCATGATCCCGGAGTCCTGGGATCGAGCCCCACATCGGGCTCTCTACTCAGCAAGGAGCCTGCTTCCTCCTCTCTCTGCCTGCCTCTCTGCCTACTTGTGATCTCTGTCTGTCAAATAAATAAATAAATAAATCTTTCAAAAAAAAAAAAAAAAAAAAAAAAAAGACTTAAGCAGAAGACATTATTTTAGCGGATGTTCAGGAGATGTGGTTAACTGCTGACAGGGGAGCTGGAGAATCTGTACGACTGTAGAAGTTCTAGGGTTTTAAAAAACTTTGCCTTGTTGGTCTAGACATTTTTTTTTTTTTTTTTTTTTTTTTTTGCTGGCCCAGGAAGAACGGATTCCTGCTAACTAAACTGCCCAGGGAAGGAACAGAAATCAGCAGGACAATTTACAGCAAGAACAGTAACTGTTACGAGAACTAAAATGATAACAGCTGGTTATTATACTTCTCAGTTGGAAAATCTACTAAGGAAATTCAATTCACCTCAGAAGATTGCTCAGTGCAAACAGAATCAGATCAGAAGAAAGTGGATGCTCTCAAACTGTGACAGAACTACCCTCTGCAGTCACAGAGATACGTTCTGAGAAATGGATTAAATGTTTTGTATTAGATAAACAGGAACACTCTGTTATTAACCATTCCTTTTTCTGCATTTCACATCAGTCTCACATTTCCATCATAACTGGTAACTAGCCTTTTTCCCCTTTCCAAATTCCCTCCATTCTCTCGGGGCAGAGTGCCTACTGTTGATTCCTCTTGATATTCCAAGTGCCCATCCTTCGCCCCGTGAAGATGGGCCCTTTTCTCTAAATAAACTGTTAACTAAAATAATACCCAATGATGTCAGTAAGAGCTCTTGACAATTTTTAGGGAAAAGCTCATTAAAGTGTTACTTAGTGGTTATAGAATAGGGACCTCTGGAGGCCACCAGCAGGAATGCCTCATTACAAATGCTAGTTCTTGACAGAATAATTACAGAGTACATTCTGTTTCACTCGGAGAGGGTTCTGATACCATTTGTACTATAGGGGGAGAAAAACGAGGGCAGCTGAGTCATTGTAACTCAAACCACTGGGAAGTTACCAGCAGCAAAGAGCCTAGCTGGGGAGCCCTTTCCTTGTCCATGATCCTCAGGTCCCCAGGGTATGAATTAGAGCAGTGGAGGAAACAAATATTTCACTAGCTGGTGAGCTGTCAAACTGTGAACTCTTTTTGGACAAGGAGGATGACAGCAGATTACAAGCCACATGCTTGACAGTTGGTCCTAAGAGCTGGCTCATTCATAGTTGCTTCCACATTCCTGAATCAGAAAATCATAATAAACCATAGCAAGCAGAACACTGCCCCCCCGCCCCAAAGCCCCGCCCAGGTCCTGACCTCCCCACGTAGACCAGGTATTGGTACTGGAGTCTGGGTCTCTCTCATTTGATGATGCTAGCTGATTGATGGCTGGGATTCTAGTTTCTAATCTGAAAGATGTCCACTTGGAGCATGAAGTCACCCCGAAGAAGGTCTAGGTTCCCCAAGGCCTGCGTATTTCTTTGGTACAAATGTGGTCCGGCTGCCTGAACAACAGATGCACATGAGGTTGGGTGATTTCTACTAGATTTGGATAAGGAAAAATTTGTAGACGTGGGTGCAACTGGCTTTTAAAAATGTGATATCACCGGGCCTTCTGAAAAGTCCAGGCAGAATCTGAGTCATGCCTGATCTCCCGTTTACTCTCTGGCATACAGTCCATAACTGGAGAATTCAACAGGAGAAAGAACATACGCTGAGTTTGTGGGTCTGTAATGTCAGAAGCTACATGACATAAAAGTATTTACCACAGTAGTCAAACAGAAGAAGGGAGAGTTCTGGAGGGATAAGAGCCTAGAGACCCACTTGGAATGATATACTCTTTTTTTTTTTAAAGTTTTATTTATTTATTTATTTATTTGAGAGAGAGAGAGAGAGAGAGAGAGAGAGAGAGAGACAGTGAGAGAGAGCATGAGCGAGGAGGTCAGAGGGAGAAGCAGACTCCCCGTGGAGCTGGGAGCCTGATGCGGGACTCGATCCCAGGACTCCAGGATCATGACCTGAGCTGAAGGCAGTCGCTTAACCAACTGAGCCACCCAGGCACCCGGAATGATATACTCTTAATTAAAACCAGAAGAGACCTCAGAAAAAGTGTGAAAGCCAGAGAAGTTAACAGCTTGCCCAGGGTCACACAGCTAGCTGGCAGCAGAGCTGGGTCTAGAATCTAGGTCTCCTGACTTCCAGCCCAAGGATCTTTTTTCCCTGTGCATGCTGGGGCACCCTGAACGTTTACACGGACAATACTAGCTCCCCCACGAA